TGGAATTATTTTTTATTATCAGTAAAATCGCTAAAAAAATTCTTTCAGTGAATCATTAAAAAATAAAATATGCTTTTCTGAAACTTTATTTGAGCAAGATTAACAGATTTAAATAATTAATCCGAATTAAAACAAATATTAAATACTTTTAGTTTAAAATATCGCATAAAATATTTTTTTTTTTTAATGGAGCTGGATGTTGACACATTTATCGATAACCTGACGTTTGTAAGATTTATGTAAGGGTGGATAATGGTCGTAAAATTACATGACGAATACAGCGTAAACGCTTTTTTTAAATAACATTTTTAACTAGTAATCTTAAAAATTGAAAATGTTTCAAGCATTCGAATATTTTTTGAATTTTAATGCTTTGTCCTTAGAATCTTTCTTAGCTGAGGCTTGTAGAGAAAACGTTAGGAAATTACGAATAGATTTTAAATTTACTATGGTTATCAATCTTATTTTCTGATAATATCGTGTAGGGGCATCCGTATTTACAAAAATCGGCACGTTTAAACACACGCAAAAATAATTCAAAATTATTTTTAAATTACTGGTGGTCGATGAATTGTAGTAGACTTTTCCATTTATGAATAGTAAATATGGGTTTTATGTAATAACAATATTACTTGGCAGATAAAAATTAAAACAAATTTTTTAAAGATTTAAAAGTTTATAAATTATTTTTATTGATTTTTTTATACTTGTAAATCTTCATTATTGATCGAAAAATATTTTTCATAAGACACTAATTTCATAAGACACTGATATATTTTAATCATAAATAAATTACAAGGATTTCTAATTAAAATAATATCTTAGTTTTATGACATTTAGAACCGAGAGGTCTACTTGACAAAAAAAAAATGATAATTTAAATACTCCTAAGACTTGTGCTCATAAGTAATAACTAACTTATAATTAATTAACTCATAACTTATAAACATTGGCGATATAAAAAAAGAATTTCTCAGAATTTCAAAAGTTTATATGTGGTGGAACAAATGTAAAAAATATTTTACCAAGAATTTCTAAGAAAGAAATTATTCTAAAATAATCTCATTTATTCCTGATAAGTCCTGAACGTTTATTTAAAAATCCAACACTTACCTGATTTTTTGCAAGAATATCCCAATAAATGTGTTTGTTTTTTTTTTAAACGCGAAAAGGAGCTCAAATATATTTATAACTATTTTTTAGTTACCTTTTGACGCCAGAGAAACAAGAATTTAGCCAAAATTTCGAAAATTCTAAAAACAAAAAATATAACTTTTACATAAAATTTATTTGGGCTTTCCTTTTCATAACAAAGATTTTGCCGATAAAAATTTATTTTTAATAAATTTTGAGTATTTTATGTTAATTTTTTAGCGAATCTTTGGAGGTAACTATATACATAATGCTCATTTTTTAGCGAATCTTTGGAGGTAACTATATACATAATGCTCATTTGTTAGCGAATCTTTGGAAGTAACTATATACATAATGCTCATTTTTAGCGAATCTTTGGAGGTAACTATATACATAATGCTCATTTTTAGCGAATCTTTGGAGGTAACTATATACATAATGCTCATCTCTTAGCGAATCTTTGGAGGTAACTATAAACATAATGCTCATTTTTTAGCGAATCTTTGGAGGTAACTATATACATAATGCTCATCTTTTAGCGAATCTTTGGAGGTAACTATATACATAATGCGTCAAGATTAACGTCCTTATTTGTTTATTTATTTTATTGAACAAAAATAAATGGCAGTAGATTAACATGGCTTTAAGATTAACTGTGGCATACGCATTCGAAAAAGGATAAATTTTAATTTCAAGATGAGAAGGACATGATGACGTGGAACAATTGAATGGTCATCACGATCACCAGACTTAAAACTAAAATACATTTTCTCGTGGGGTATACTGAAATATCTTGTTTATAGGCTCAAACCTAAAACAATCCCTGTATTAAAATAAAGCAGTTTCTGATTTAATTTCTTATAATTAATGTAAAAATGTGTCAAATATCTTGTAGAAATGTCGCTGATAGGGTTCAGGCTTGTAACGGACACGAAGAGGAACATTTTGAGCATGTTAAGAAGTTTGTTAATCATATGTTCTTCATTTGATAATATTTATATAATGGCTGTATATTTTATTTTTTAAAACTCTTTTTGAGTATTAAGAATATATTTGTAAAACTTCTTACATGTTTCGCCTATTATACAGCTCCATCAGAAAAGGTTGGACTTTTTGTTTAGCTGCGTATCAACCTCTATGGGTTATGTAATGTCGGAATATAAATATTTCGTACTTAATTTTATTTTGTTTAATGGTGTGATACAAGTCTTACTAATTAACCCGTAGCTGGGGGAGAGAAGAGATTGATTAATACCTTTTTCAAGGACATTTGCCCAAAAGTAAATATAAAAAAATACAACTGGAATTCGGTTCTCCAATTAACAAATACCTAGCCACTATCCATTACCCCACCCGCAAATTCATACATGCAGCAGCTAGTATTCCCAGGCGGTTACTCATCTAGGTACTGACCACTCTCTGTGTTGCTTAACTTCGGTGATCGTACGGGAACCGGATTTTTCAACGGGATGTAGCTGTAAGACCGTCGGAAAAGCAAGTCTATTTCCGAAAACAAAAAGACCTCATTAGCGTGAAGAAACGTCATTTTCGTCAAGTGGCTGAATACATTAAGTGCATTGTTTCGTAAGTTCGGTTTTATTTTTATTTATTCATGTGTGAGTGTAGGGAGTTAAGTGCAGTGACATCAGATTCAATATAAACGCCATGGTCAACAGGAAGAATGATTTGTACCACGTGTCATAAACAATCTAAAAACAAGACTACTCTCACTGGGCATGAGACGGCGCATAAAATGAAACATGAAAAAACTTGACAAAGCTAATATTCAAAATACATTTGATTTATTCAAAGTATTTTTCTCAACTTTTTGGTGATACTATAGCAAAAAAAAAAAAAAATAAATAAATAAAAAAACGTTTCAGCCAGTTTAACTCTGGTCATCTTCAGATGTCCAGTATTTTCACGAAGCCAGTTTTTTGAACAGGAGTAGGGGTATATCTCTTGTTCCCTTTTTAGGATCGGGTTTCTGCTTCCTTCTAAAATATTTTCATTGTCTTTCAATTCTTTACGTCTTCGTGGCATTATCGCCTTTCTTGGAGCGAATTGATTTATTAGAAAGTATGGGTTTATCATTGTATTATTTCTGTACCTGGAAGGTTCTTTCTGTCTTCGTATATCGACTGCATTACTTGATTTATTAATTTACTTCAAAACGAAGAAATGAGAGCAAAATATCTTTAAACAACGCATCCGTCTCTATTTAGAGCTTTTAAATTTAATGACAAATTGATTCGACATTTCGTTATCACGGGTCCCTACTGATTTTTGATAATGTTTATTATTATGAATGATAAATGTGTTTGTCAGCAATTTAATAGTATTTTATTTTAATCCTTTCTAGTTTTAAGAATAATTACAGAACTGATGACCACCAGCGACACCAGATACGCTATTATGGTAGATTATCCTCCTAATCAATCCCCACAATATATATATATATATATATATATATATATATATAAATTCATAGTTGGAAATTAGATGGAGGCCCAGTACAAAATCTTTATTGAAGGTTTCAAAGAAAAAATATAAATGGCCTCCAACACTTTTAAGCGGTAATTTGAGTGGGACTTGCTAAGATTATTACATGAGATCATAACATTTTTTCATGGCGATCATAAAAATTTTGTACCACCAATCAAATCTCTCTCTCTCTCTCTCTCTCTCTCTCTCTATCTATCTATATATATATATATATATATATATATATATATATATATATATATATATATATACACAGAAATACAGAAATTGTTCAAATCGTGTAACAGCATAATTGTATATCCCACAAAATGTTTAATATTTAAAAAAAAAAACGCAAAACTTATTTAGATTCAGTAACTGAAGAAGGCCAGAGCGTACAACGACCGAAACGTTGTAATAAATATGGCAACAAAGATGAGAACAATAGTCTGAATAATGTAAATAGTGTTATTTATTTTTTTATTTGTTTTTTTTTTTTTTCAGATTTTAAGATCAGGCTTTTAGCCAACTTGACAGAATTTTTCGTAAGAATCACTGAAAAACACTTTGAGTAATTCAGCTAAAAAGAGAGAAGGTTAAAATTATTTTGTGCCAGATGAACTGTCTTCCCAAATGAGCAATAATTATATAAAAGATTTCATTCAGGTCTTCAGTAATAGTACCAACATTCATACTTTGGCTTCCATCTTCATAGTCCATTCAAGGACCATCAAGAGAACGATGAATAATTAAAAAAAAGAGGAAACAATAGAAAGGAAAAGTTGATCAGAAGGTCACAACAGGAAGAAGGGTCATCATTTCAGCTCAGTGCTAAAGATATCAATTAGTAAAGATCCAACTCAATCCATAAGACGTTTGGCACGTGAGAGAGGAGTTTCAGCTATAACAGTTCAAAGAGCAATGAAAAAAGACTTGAAAGTGAAATCGTACCAGAAACCTGTGAGGCCTCTTGCCTTCAAATGAAGAGATATAGATAGACAGATAGATGGATGAATACATATCAAGATATATAGATATAAACAGACATACATGTGAATAGACTGAGCTAGATTGCTCGATTGCTAGAAAAAGTCTGTTATAGATAGATACGTATATTCATATGAATACACTTAGATAGGATTGGACTGAGATAGATAGATAGATAGATAGATAGATAGATAGATAGATAGATAGATAGATAGATAGATTAGGACTACCTAATATTTAACAGTGTTTTAGCACCATTTACTCAGGTGAAAAAGTTATTGATTTCAAAATTCTTGCAAAAATCAAATAATTGTCAAATTGTAATGAAACTTTCAGAACTTATTCACAAATGAATGACATTATTTTAAATATGTTTTTTAGAAAGTCATGGTAAAAACATTTTTTTGCATCTGTTATTCCACGCCTTTAATTTTATGAAAACTCGAAAAATTCCAAGGCAAGCCTTTTATTGATTATATTAGTTAAAATCAGAAGACTTTGAAAAATCATCGATTTTTTTTTTGTAAAATCGAATCACAGCTACCTAAAATTCAGCTCCGAACTATAACCAGAAAAAAACATTATAACAAAGACATTATTTAATTAGAACAGATTTTAATGGCTTTTATGAATAATATATGTTAAGGACAATATTGTCTGAAGCAAAAATATTTTTTCGATGCAAAATGAATTTTCAAGGAATTGTTTCCTTTTTTTTATTTTTAAATACAAAATGTAATAAAGTTAAATATTTTAAAATTAATTTTCAATCCGTGCACTTTAATAAATTCTGTTAATAATTAGATCTATCATTGCAGATCATGAATTTGAAATCTTATTACAATCTTCAGCACACATGTATGTTAAAAAAGAATTTTACACAGTTTTTGAGTCTACATAAAAAAAAAACATATAGATGATCGTAAGTTTTCTACTGCAAACATATGTTGAATTCTCTGACTGACTTTGACCCTCATCTTTGCATTTTCAATTTTATCTTTTTAGTGTCAATATTTTAATTAATTTTTTTTTTAAAATATAATTAATTTATTGCATTTCAGTAAGAGACATGCTGCAATTATTAATTATTTTGATTTTTAGGTTCAATTCTAAGGACAGTAACGAAACAATTAATATTAAAAATAAGGAAAATTTTTAAAAAAATAATACATTAAATAATAAAATTTTTAGAAAAATGAGAGATTTACCTATAATTATGAGGTACCTATCTTATTTAGGAAATTTTATGGTATTATTTTTAATTATTAATTTTTATATTATTTTATTGTGAAATTTTTTTCATACCTAAGATATAATAATTAATAATAAATAAAAATAATGCTATAAAATTTCATAAGCCATCTACGTACAATTTAGGTACCTTTCTTATGAAATTTTATCTCACTCTAAGTTATGAAATTTTAAATTTATGGTATTGTTAGTATTTTAAATTTTATTTTTCCAGAAATAATCTACAAACGTATGGCTATAAAACTAAAGTACCTAAAAAGAAGAAAATAAAATAGAATAAAATATAAAAATGCTGAAAATATTTGTTAATTTTTTAAAGTTACTGTGCAGATAAATTAGTTCACTTAAGATTCGAAAAAAAATTATATCACTTCTATTCTTCCGTCCGATAATTTCCCCTGACGTAAGCTGTCACTACATCGATTTAACAGTCAGTTAACACGTCCAGAACAAATCACCACGGTTAAGATATGATTATTAAAGGTATTCCGCTGATGCAAAAAAAAAAAAAATGAGATTTTTAATCAAAATTTTGAATGTTCTACAATGAATGAAAAAATTTAGTAAAATAATAAAAAAATACTTTGGCATTTTCTCTTAATAATAACATAAGCATTTAAACGGTAAAACATTATTCATCAAGTTTGGGGATTTTTTCATCAGGAAGATTGTTATTGTGCAAATATGTTTCCTCTAAAGAGGCAATATGACGCATCTTGGGCTTCGAAATACACGAGCTGCATCCAACGTGCGTTAATCTAGCTGTTCATTTTGAAAACGGCCAGTGTTTATTCGCCCTTACATGGAGTATTGCTGCCATATATGGTCTGGAGTCCCCTCTGTTTGCCTCGGGGTTCTTCATAAGCTCCAGAGGCGGATATGCAATACAATTGGCCCTGCTCTGGCATCTCGTCTACAGTCGCTCTCTCACAGATGCGCCGTCGCCTCTCTCTGTCTTTTTTACAAATACTTTCATGGCAATTGCTCCTAGGAGCTGCATTCGCTGGTTCTCAGACTTCATTAGTTCAAGCGCCCTACGATGCTGGGCATCCCGCTCTCACCCTTTCACTGTCGAAACTCCTAAATGTAGCCGTCTCTTCTACTCCAATAGCTTCATGTCTCGCACCTCTCGCCTGTGGAACTCCCTTCCCTATTCCAGTTTCCCTGAGAGCTATAATCTCCAACTATTCAAATGTAATGTCAATCGACATCTCCAGTTGCCTTGATCTATCCACTATCCTTCTCCCCATCCTTTCCGCTATCACTCCTATCTGATCTTGCTCCAAATCTTCTGTAACCCCTTGCGTCCTAGTGGCTTCCAGCCTTGCTTGTGGTGAAACGCTAAAAAAAAAAAAAATTCCCAGAAGATATTGCTTGAAAATGTAGTTGAGAACACACCAGAAACCATTTGGACAGCTTTCTTCAAATTATGCCAAAGTGACCTGTTTGCCCGCACCCTGTTCTGTCTTGTGGTTCCCGTATACTGCTCCTGGGAACCCAATAGATGGAGTAGGTGCAAGCAAAGAGCACAAGTTGAGGACTTCGAAGAAACTACTGTCTTCAGAAGTGGGACCATCGGTCGGGTATACACTAGGCACCCCGATCATCAGGAGTGCTTCTTTCTCTGTCTACTGCTACACACTGTCAGGGGTCCTACATCATTCACAGACCTGCGAAGATATGAAGAAGACTATACACCTTACAGAGAAGCCTGCGCCAAGCATGGTCAACTGGAGGACAATGCCCACTGGAACCAGACACTGGGGGGGGGAGGCAGAAATCAGCAGAGAGCCAGGTCAACATCTATTTCCCATCATGTTGATGACATGAGATTTGGGTGAGCCTCTCAAGCTTTGGACGCAGACAAAACCAGAAATGACAGAAGACATCCTAAGGCGGATTCAAAGGCAAACATCAGCGGAAATTGTTGCGTTCAATGATGCCATCTACAATGAGGCATTTGACCTGGACACTCAAGTGCAAGCTATGGGAGGCCAAAGAATTGCTACATCAGTTGTTTACCTCACCCTGAGCAGGCAGCGAACAGTCTTGCAATTGAGTACATGGGAGAGATCAGCTATGACACCGAATAAATGACAGCGTATATAGCTGATAACGATCACTTAATGATGTAGGGCCAACTGGGTGTTTACAACACGATTAATTTGAGCACTGGACGTGAAAGAGGAGATCAATTCTTCTTTGATACCCCAGGTGGAACTGGTAAGATTTTAATCATCAACCTACTTCTTGCTAAACTGCGCTAAACAAAAACATCGCTTTAGCAGTGGCGTCATATGGAATAGTTGCAACCTTGTTAAGGGGTGGCCGCACAGCTCATTCGTGCACCAAACTCCCTTTGGATCTGTCCAAGAAAGAGGAGGCATCCTGCAGCATCAGTCGTGGTTCTATAAAAGGAAATCTCTTCAGTGATTGCAAATTGCTCATCTGGGATAAGCCGACAATGAGGATTCGTTCGAGGTCCTTGACACGGATATTCAGGATTTTCAACACAGCACACGGCTCATTGGAGGTGCAACAGTCTTGCTTGCAGGAGACTTTAGACAAATCCTTCCAGGGACAAGAGCTGCTCAGTTAAACGCTAGTATAAAGTTTTCCTACATGTGAAGCAGTGTAAAAAGCTGAGAACAACACACCCAACAGGAGCGTACAGCTCAGTGGTGATGAGGCAGTGAGCTGATTTTCTCAAAGCATCTATTCGATGTTGGTAATGGCACTTTGGTTGGCGAGCAGGATAGCCGACATAGTTTGCCTTTTGAACATATATCTGATTTTAAGGAACTAATGATTAGGGTGTTTCCTAACCTGAGGAATAAATTTATAGTCCACAACTGGCTGTGACTCTGTTCCATTTTACCTCTAAAGAATGTGGCAGTTGATGATTGAACATCAAACCTCTGGAACAGTTGCCAGGTGAGCAACGCATATACAATTTCATTGACGCTGTATGTTATAGTGGAACACACCTATTCTATAGTTAATAGACTCTCCCACCTATAATAAGTAGGAGTAGTAAGAGTAACGAGCGAGGCAGTCGCTCAGGGGGGCGGGCACTCAGTGGATGCCGGACGACCGTTAGTCGGATACTAAAGTATCAGCGACCACCACTAAATTACTCTGCGTCTTTACCTATTATATCAAGTTCCTAACGTTTTGTACGTCGAACCTATTTTAGGACCGACTTAGTACAAATACAAGCCTCCACTGTGAAACCACTCCATAACACTGTACAAAATGCCGATGAAGCTGTTAATTTTCCAGTTGAATTTTTGAATAGCCGAACACCAGCAGGCCTCCCATCTCACAATTTGCACCTCAAGATTCGATCACCAGTGATGCTGCTAAGAAACTTGGATCCACCGAAACTTTGCAATGGCACACGACTTACAATTAAGAACATTGCGGCTGTTATGACGTAATTTTCTTTATGATTTTGGCATTCATAACTTATTGATATTTCCTCCAAAGTCCTAGGGGAAGCAGTTGGGTATTTTCTGTGAACGCATAAAAGATATTTTCAGTGAATTGTTATTTTCGGATAACCGAAGAAACGATATAAAAACGGAAAACGGGGATAGCTTCCATTTTCACGGTAATTACCGGGTACGTCATCTAGTATTTAATAAATTATAACAATTAAATCGACGCGCAATGCGAACCGAGTTTAACGTCTGCTGCGTTTTCTTTCACACAAATGCACTTAGAAAATGCAAACATTCATCTATGATCCGCCCAACGATGTGTTAGATTTTAGAATAGACTGGGTTTAAATCTAGTCTAGATCAAGGAATATCCAGAATTTATAACCGTCGATAAAGCAAGCGATGGCCTCACATTTACATATTAACTCAAGACAATTCACAGATAATAAGGAAGGGGAAAATGTGCAGAGCCGTGATCCACTATGTCATGAAGGGAGATGGCATTAAAACAAATAGTATGTTCGACTGCATTCTCCAAGCATCACTCAGCTAGTTTTTTTTTTTTTTTTTTTTGTAAAATGTCTTCACATGGACTACTTTTTAAATAATTTTAAGATTATTGTTCGGAGAAAACCATACATTTTCAGTCATGCATCAAATTTAAGTTAAGAAGTGTATTTTAATTTTTACAGAATGGTACAGGATTCGGAGAGACGAGTTCGTATTCCACTCGAATCCATTACATTCACTTGCGTGCTAATATCCTTGGGAAAGGTATCAATCCTCTTCTTCTTTTCTCTATCTATGGGTAAATAGCAGGATAAACCGGGATCTGTAGCCTTGGATCTACCGCAGAAAAGAAATGGCAACCTACTGCGGGAAAAAATCTGCATCATCAGTCATGTATCGAAGCCTAAGCGTGTATCACGCATGGCACATGACTAACTGGCAGTCTTACGAACATATCACGTCGGAACACCGGTTCCCGTACGATCACTGAAGTAAAGTAACATCGAGCCTAGTCAATAGCCTAGATGAGTGACTGCTTGGGAATTCCAGCTGCTGTAGGCTTGGATGTGCGTGCGGTTTAATAGATAATGCCTCAGAATTTGAAATCGGAGAGTCGAGTTCCATTCCCCGTCGTGTTCGTTATATTTACTTTCGCACAAATACCTTCGGAAAAGATATGAAACCATTTCCCCCAGCTATAGATTAATTAGCAGGACATGTATTAGTAAATCATTATTATCCCCAGAAACTTCTTACAATCTAAAAAAATATTTTCTGATATTAAAAGGGTTGATAAACCGTAAAATATATCAGTCAGTCCATATGTAAAATGTTACAAGACCTGGCTATTTTAATTTTCTTTATTTTTTCTTTATGTTTGTTGAGAAAACCTTGCACGAATTTCATCATCTGACTCTCCAATTTTTATTTTCTCTTTCAAACAATCGAAACATGATAAAACAATTAATATGGGGCCAGTAAATGTTGTGAGTTATTGGAGGCTCCCACCCAGCTTCTCCAGGATACAACAGCGAAGTTTAGCTGAAAGAACTCGGAAAGAGATGCTTATCTAAGGCTCGTCCACTCGAGGCCGTCGCCCACGAATTGGATATGAAAAGTAAAGAGTAGAGAGGACTCATTAGAAATTCATCACCTTGCGGCCTCAGCTGAGATTGAACTCACCAATACTTTGATTGGTGTAGTTCATAATCTTGTCAAGTAGCTGAAAACTTGATGCTTCGCTAGGGCTATCATGGGTGTGTTTATCGTGACACCATCACTAAATGGATTGCCATCCAAGGCTCAGAGAGACTCCATTCACCCTCATCTAAGAGCAGGTTTGAATTCAGAGTTTTCCTTCTCCTAGACCGGTTGCCATCCAAGGCTATAGAACCCAGTCTGTCCTGCTATCTACCCATAGCTGGAGGGAGAAGAAAGAGGATTCACACCTTTCCCAAGGGTGTTAGCACGTAAGTGGAATTCGAACTCGGCTCTCCGATTCCTCAATCCAAGCCGCTATCCATTACTCCACCGTGCCTCCTCCATTAGAAATTAGGGTCGTACAGGTTGGTTCAAAAGTGTCTAAGGGTTTTGAAATTTTAATAACATTTTGTTAAATCAATGCATTTTAGTTTTATTTCAGGTATTTTATAAAGAAGGCTTTGGAAATTAATCATGTAAAAATACACGACTGACAAATGAATACAAGTCTTTCTCCCATAACAAAGGATCAGTAATTCAAACTCCAAGCATAAAATAGCCGCCATGTTTTTCACAGTGGGCGGACAGTTGCGAACCAGACATTTGCATTCCTAGACAAATGCGTCCCTGGATAATTGGATACCTTTTAATTTTTTGAACTTAAACAGTTGTTTAATATAGAAATTTAAGCACCAATACTTTTAATTACTCTAAAGTAGCAGAAAGGTAGTTATCATAAATAAAAAAAGCGAGAATTTTTTTTTCAAGCAAGAGAAAATTAAGCTAGCAGTTACAGTTCACTCCAGCAGTGCGTACCACAAACATCTAATAGATTTTATAGATTATATTTTTATTTGAAATCCATGGCTAAGTTTCGAAAATCAAACACTGGTGGAACAATATTTGTGGATGAGGGAAATTACAACTACTACTATCATAAGAAAACGCTGATGAACCAAAAATATACTTGCGATGTGTAGAGCCATATTGCAACACTGTTAATCTTTCATTGCGTTTTAAACAAAAAATAAATTTTTATTTTGTTCCTTTTTTTTCCCTTTTTTTAAAAGAATTAAGATTATTACCTATGCTTTTTTTTTTCAAAATGTATGGTTATTGCCTCTAAAATCTTCGAAACAAAATAATCAGAGGTCCGCATTTGTCTAGGGACGTAAATATCGAGGGATGTGATTGTCTGGTACGCAAATGTCCAGTACGCAACTGTTCTGGTACCGTTCCCCAGATATGAAAAGCCATGATTTCTATACTCAAATATTATGTCAACAAAGTGCCCAACAACTGAAGGACAACATTCAGACCGAAATCAAAACCCTACAGCCTGAAACAATGGGAACAGTGATGGAAAATGACTTAGAAAGGTCACGTTCTTGTGAAGCTGAATATGGATGCCACTTAAAAGATGTAATCTTTCTAAACTTGTGTAAATTTATTTCTCACATCTATTCTATATAAGATTATGGTATAGTTAATTAAAGTTAAAAATAAAGGAGTTTAAATTTTTAAATTCCTTGGTGACTTTTCGGCCAGCCTGTATAAACTCTACTATCGAGAGGATTTGATACTTAGCAAAGCTGAATACGGACAGATTAATTATGATAACCAGAATTTTTTTAATAGGATTGACAAGATGCCAAATCAGGACTAATAAAAAAACAACTGAAATGCAAAGTCACAATGAATATCCAAAACCAATTCAGGTAAAAGGGACATGGATAAGAATTAGAATAGGAAAAAAAGGCCGAATATTAATCACAATCTAGAATAATCTTCTAAGAAGAAAATATATCAAGATCCAAACAGATTCATTCTATTACTAGTACCAGACTAGCTTTAGATATATAAATGTCACTAAATGCTGAGGAAGCTGTTGTTTTTAACTTGAACTTAATAACAAGAGTTCGAGCCCAATTAAAAGTCTCTGAATGCTGTTTTTAGGCAAAAATTCCCAAACAATTTGGAAAAAAATGGCACAATACAACTTTTTTGATTTTCATTTTGTACAATTTGGCCAAGATTTTGTAATTTTAGAATAAACCTATTTTAAGAGTAGAAACCCATAAAATGTGCTAAATAGGACATAATGAGATAGATAGATAGATAGATAGATAGATAGATAGATAGATAGATAGATAGATAAGAAAATAAAAAATGCAGATAATCTTATAGATAGATAGATAGATAGATAGATAGATAGATAGATAGATAGATAGATAGGAAAATAAAAACAGATAGATAGATAGGAAAATAAAAACAGATAGATAGATAGATAGATAGATAGTAAAATAAAAAATGCAGATAATCGTCTAGATAGATAGATAGATAGATAGATAGATAGATAGGAAAATAAAAACATACAGATAGATAGATAGATAGATAGATAGATAGGAAAATAAAAAATGCAGATAATCTTCTAAATAGATAGATAGAAAGATAAATAGATAGATAGATAGATAGATAGATAGATAGATAGATAGATAGATAGATAGGAAAATAAAAACTGATAGATAGATAGATAGATAGATAGATAGATAGATAGATAGATAGGAAAATAAAAACATGCATATAGATAGATAGATAGTTAGATAGATAGATAGATAGATAGGAAAATAAAAACATACAGATAGATAGATAGACAGACAGAGAGATAAAATGAAATGATATTTGCATTGAAATAATGTTTTCCAATTGCAAAATTCGCGTAATTCAAGCTCGCTTTTGCCCTTGTGTCGTAACAAAGCTAAACTCAGCTAATATCAGAATAATGCCTTTGACATTATCATCATTAATATAATACATTTTCGCTATCAATTAACATCAAGAGAAGCATATAATTAACTTTTTTGTACGTTAGATTTCCCGGTGGGGGTCATTTCCACTGCTCAATGCAACAGGAGATGCATAGAATTTCCTCTTTTTCACTACCCTTCTTCTTTCCTTTCCTCCTTTTTTACTTTCCTACTTCTTTCTCAAGAATTCTAAATGATATAATCTTTCCACCAAATGTTAGGTTTTATTAACAGTGGCCATTGTTAGCTCTCAAATGATGTTATCATGATTCACGCTGGAAGTGTTGCAGTCGAAGTGTAATTCATTTTATTCGTGTTCGGTAATCACATTCGGTTTCAAAGAATCTCCTATTCTTTCGTCTTTAATTTTTTTTTTTTACTTCAATCTCTATTGCACTTGCATTTTGCCTCGGTAAAAATATTATGGCACAAATTTATGAAAAGGGACCTTTTTAACTGAAAGTGACTGGGGAAATTCTGTTACAGTCAGAAATAATAGACGCATATAACTTTCTCTCTCCATTTTTCTTCCTTCCCAATAATTTTTACGTTCGCTTCATTCTTTCTTTCCTTCGTTTCTTTTGACAATTCTTAGGCCCGTTAAACTTTTCTTCTTTTTTTTATTGATAATTCAGCCAATGCAAAACTCAAAGGTCCCCTAAAGGCCACCCAAAGTAGAGGGTTACTAAATGAAATTGTAAGGGAGGAGTACGTATGGGAGTATTATGAGGCTGACTAGGTATAGATATAGGTTGAGCCTGTACTTAAAGAGCCCAAGTAGTTATCAGGGAAGCATTCTCTCGAGAGTATGTTCCAGAAAGTAACAGTTCTGGGGAAGAAGCTGTCTGAATGGAACTTGCTTTTTTTATCGAAGACACGAAGGGAATGTAGATGGTTTGCTACCGTGAACATAACATGGCGGGTAACAGGTTTCTTTTGAATAACATTCAAAATCGTTTCTTTGTTTCTTTCTTTCTGTCAAGCTTTCCTTCTAAATATTTTTTTACGCTCATTTTTTTTTCTTTCTTACATGGATTAATTTTTACATGAGCCTCTTTCTTTCACTTTTTCTTAACTTTTCTTTTTGTCTTTTGACTATTTTCAAACGTTCTTTTGACTCATTTTCATAATTGTTTCTTTTTACTTACTTTTAAAATAATTCTCATGCCTTACGTTTCTTTCTTTTTTTTTTCTTTCTTTCTTTCTTTCTTTCTTTCTATGAATAATTTTTGTATCAAGGTCGATTTTACTGTTTTTAAACCACAATTCTCCATGATTTGTATCTATAAAAAGAGCGTATAAACATAACAAATGTCTTAAGATATTTGTCGTAAAAATAATATTTCGTTATATATATATATATATATATATGTATATGTGTGTGTGTGTGTGTGTGTGTGTGTGTGTGTGTGTGTTGAAACTTGACTAATGCATGGAATAATAATAAACACAAAATGTACTTAGAACAAAATGTATTGAAACAAAGGTACACAATATTTACATTTTAGTCTTTTGTATATTCTTGGGGAAAGACCGTTCCTGGAGAATGTTG